TTTACTACATTTGGTGGGAGGCTGTACCACATGTGTATAGGAACATTCTTTAATTGTAAATAAGGCTGTGACTCCTTTGTCCTATTTTCCTCAAATAATTTTATAAACTTCCAACATATCATCACATGATCTTCAAATTCTATAGGCTAATGTTGGAAGTCTTAAATTCTGCAAACGTTCCATGTAAGATAAATTTGAAAGTCCTGGTACTTGTTTTGTTGCTTGAGGTCGGACATTTTCTATTGCTATTACACGCTTTCCTAAAACGGGGACACCAAACTTAATTTGCATACTTTATACAAGGTCTTACTTATGCTGTATACACCAGTTAAAATCATGGATATACATGAATTCCATTGTTCCCCACAATATGCTCATAACAGAATTTGCTTTATTAATCTTTTTCATATTATATGCTTATCAAAATGTTAGCTTATCATCATCTATGGTGACGACTCCAATATCCACAAATTGTAATAGTGTGAAACAATCCTCCAGGGTGTGTTAGAATCTATCAATGTTTGTGTTTCCCCACATGCATCATTTTACATTTGTGGAAGTGAAGCTTGAGGTTTCTGACAATTTTTTTATGAAAATATATCCTGCTGTAGAACTACGCAATCTTGTTAATTATTTATTGCTGTGAAACCTTTTGTGTCATCACCAAAAAGGTAAGTACCCATTCCTGGGCTTGTTACAGTTGGCATATCATTTATGTATAATACTAAAAGAAGTGGACCTAGCACTGATCCCTGTCGAATACCGCTTATTACTAGATTCCAGTGAGACTGTTTTTCTGTTCACAACGTCTCTTTGTTTCCAACCAAATAAGATAGCTTTTTTCCAAGAGGCAAATTGTCAAGCAATACCATATTTCGTGAGTTTATACACCAACTGGAGATGGGGAACTTTATCAAAAGCTTTCATGAAATCCACCTTCATCTAAAATATCTGTTCATTTACCCCTGACTTTGATCAACTGAAATACCATGGAATTGACATCTATAAATCAAAATTAAGCTTTGCTGAAGAGATTATTTTCTCAAATGACTGATCAATTCATTCCTGAGTATTCATTCTAATATTTTACACCCAATGCTAGTCAGACTAACTGGTTGATTGTTTGAAACCTCCTTCTGGTCACCTTTCTTGAATATTGTCGATACATTTGCACATTCACATTCTTATTTTGGCCAAAACTACCTCCTCTTTCCTATTGTTTCTATGATAATGACACAGTATATACTTAATAAGGGCTGGCTATTCCTAAGTTTAGTGTTTGTACTCTCTCCGTCAAGCACTTTGGAAAGATTTCTTATAAACTAACAAAAGTTTTTTTTAGGTATCAAGTAAACATAAAATTCAAGAAAAAATCACAAAGAGATAAATCAGGTTGTATAGGCAGGAATTCAATGAATACAGGGTGTTGCTAAAACAAGTTTGACTGTCAGTATCCAAAGCAATACTTAATCACCATTTGCAAATTAGAGAAACACATGAAAACTGACACAAAAAAATGTTAATGCACCAACTGATGGCTGCGTTACATGGCCTTAATGTATAACCTGGTACATTCCTATTTGATTGCCCTTAGGTAATTAAGGATGAAATATCATTTACCCAAGGTCTGAAATAAAATACTACAGGTACGCAGTTTTCATCAGTAGTGAAAAAAAATTAATCATGCTTAGTCACAGTTCAGAGAGAACTGTTGGGGCAGTAAGTGATTTAGCGTGTTCAATGTTCTATATTACACACAGCCTTGATATCCAACAGGGCATCAACTGTGTCTATATAGCTCACCACATCTTATTAACACTTCTCTATATTTAATGTTAAGGATCCATGTACAAATGTACCTTTGGCAAAAGCTGTAACTAAATATTGTGAACTGTTTTTTTCTGGAATCACTATAGCTTTGATAAATAATTTCTGAAAAGAAAACCACACCTTGCAGGACTTTTGTGCAAAGTGATTAAGATTCTTTATATCTTATAAATTTATATAAGATACATAAAATATAACTAACCACAGTGTTATGAGTGTAAAATTCAGCAGGGCTATAGGGGGATTTGAACTCTGGACTTCAGATTGTTATACTATCGCTGTAATAGAGCTACCTGGCCCAACTGTGCTACAGCTTTATCCAAACAGAAGTTAAGGGGAGGTTACTGTATATAGGCGAGAGGCCCAATGGGCCTGCATCGCTCACCTGGTATTAATCTCACACTTGTAATCTTAAGAGTGGACTAAAATACAGCTACAGGCAGAATATCAGTGTTTGATTCATAAGAACCTATTAAAAGATGTTAACATATGACGCCTGTGTGCTTGAATGTCGAACAAGGACATCAGGTTGAAAGTGGATCAAGGTCATTCATTTGAACAAACTTGGTAGTCCTTTATCCAAGCATGCTACAGGCCTAATTTCAGTACCCTGGACCTTTTGGTTATTGAGAAGATGTTTGAAGATTTTAAGACATTTGACCCCTGTGACCTTGAAAATTGGTCAAGGTCATTCATTTTAACAAACTTGGTAGTCCTTCATCTGAAAAAGGCTACAGACACATATATCAGTACCCTGGGCCTTCAAATTATCGAGAAGAAGTCGTTTCCAGATTTTAAGACATTTGACCCCTTTGACCTTGAAAGTGTGTCAAGGTCATTCATTTGAACAAACTTGGTAGTCCTTAATCTCAGCATGCTACAGGTCAAATATCAGTACCCTGGACCTTTTGGTTATTGAAAAGAAGCTGTTTGAAGATTTTAAGACATTTGACCCCTGTGACCTTGAATATGGGTGAAAGTCATTCATTTGAACAAAATTGGTAGCCCTTCACCCTAGCATGCTACTGAACAAATATCATCTCCCTGGGCAGTTTGGTTATTGAAAAGAATCTGTTTGAAGATTTTAACATATTTGGCCCCTGTGACCTTGAATATCGGCGAAGGTCATTTATTTGAACAAACTTGGTAGTGCTTAATCTCAGCATGCTACAGGTCAAATATCAGTCCCCTGGACCTTTTGGTTATTGCAAAGAAGCTGTTTGACGATTTTAAGACATTTGCCCCCTTTGACCTTGAAAGTGTGTCAAGGGCATTCATTTGAACAAAATTGGTAGCCCTTCACCCAAGGATGCAACTGGCCAAATATCATCACCCTGGGCATTTCGGTTATTGAGAAGTTGTTTAAAGGTTTTTTAAGACAGTTGACCCCTGTGACCTTGAATATAATTGAAGGTCATTCATTTGAACAAACTTGGTAGCCCTTCACCCAAGGATGCTACTGGCCAAATATCATCTCCCTGGGCAGTTTGGTTATAGAGAAGAAGATGTTTAAAGTTTTTAACATATTTGACCCCTGTGACCTTGAAAATGGGTGAAGGTCATTAACTTTAACAAACTTTGTAGCCCTTCAACTCAGTTTGCTTCTGGCAAAATATCGACACCCTAGGCTATTCGGTTATTAAGTTGAAGTCGTTTAAAATAAAATATTGACGTCGGACGCCGCGCCACGGCATAAGCTCACTTGGCACTTCGTGCAAGGTGAGCTAAAAAAACACAGTACAGTGGGACAAGGATTCTTAAACATCATCATATGAGCCACATATACCTGGTACGTATGACCATATGAGCCACATATACCTGGTACGTATGACCAAATGAGCCACATATACCTGGTACGTATGGCCATATGAGCTACATATACCTGGTCACGGCTGCTGTAAGGCTCATATGGTCATACGTACCAGGGATATGTAGCTCATATGGTCATACGTACCATGTATATGTAGCTCACACGGTCATACGTACCAGGTATATGTCGCTCATATGGTCATACGTACCAGTTATATGTGGCTCATATGGTCATACGGACCAGATATATGTAGCTCATATGGTCATACGTAGCAGGTATATGTAGCTCATATGGTCACACGTACCAGGTATATGTGGCTCATTTGGTCATACGTACCAGGTATATGGGGCTCATATGGTCATACGTACCAGCTATATGTAGCTCATATGGTCATACGTAGCAGGTATATGTGGCTCATATGGTGATACGTATCAGGTATATGTAGCTCATATGGTCATCCGTACCAGGTATATGTGGCTCATATTGTCATACGTACCAGGTATATGTAGCGCATATGGTCATACGTACCATGTATATGTAGCTCATATGGTCATACGTACGAGGTATATGTAGCTCATATGGTCATCCGTACCAGGTATATGTGGCTCATAGGGGCATACGTACCAGGTATATGGAGCTCATATGGTCATACGTACCATGTATATGTAGCTCACACGGTCATACGTACCAGGTATATGTGGATCATATGATGATGTTTAAGAATCCTTGTCCCACTGTACTGTGGGACAAGGATTCTTAAACATCATCATATGATCCACATATACCTGGTACGTATGACGATATGAGCTACATATACCTGGTACGTATAACCATATGAGCTACATATACCTGGTACGTATGACCATATGAGCCTTACAGCAGCCGTGACCATTGATAATATTGCCACCTTAAAGTAGCATCTCACTGAACTGTTATAAGCTGGACAGGCTGTGTGACACGCCATCTACTCACATTATCCTGACAATGAGCTTACATAATAACCATGTAATTATTTATACAGGGAGACTTGTAAGATTATGAGATACCTATGTTTATAGGGCGACATAAACAAACAGAAAAAGTAATGCATAGAGCACAGATTTTTTTTATCTCTGTGGCAATACTCAAAAATGTTTTTGATGAACTTTCCGATCCAGATGTAGCTTTTTGTTGTGGACTATAATCCCCAGGAAAAAAGTCGGGAAAATTTGATGCTTTCTTGCCATTTGTAATGTTTTCAAGTTCTGTGATTGCTACCAGCCTGGGGTCAGGCTAGAAAGATTGAACACCACTGATCTTAAATGATGTTTGCAAAGCGACTCTACTAACAACACAGATGTCGTAAATAGATTTTTTGACCTACCTTTCAATGCTTGCAACAAGTTGTTCTTCTCATCATCAAACCTTTGCCAAATGTCGATCAATGGGTTACATTTCTCTTCTCTAGAATCTTTCTCAACCACTAGGCCAACATCTAAAGAAAATCATTCAAAAGTTTCCTTTAGTCTCAAATGAGGAAATATTAAAAATTGCAGGTTATTATGTATTAAATATCAATGGGAATTTTACTTCAAGTATAAAGAAATTCAAGATAAAACATATAATCAATAGCATAAAGATAAGAACAAGATCAGAACGTAAAATGGAAGTACATATTATTTTTATATTTGTGCTCCAACCAATACCAAAACCTGAATACTAGTCTTTACTCTACAGTGCTTCCGGATATATAGCTTGGAAACAGGTGTCTATTAAATCTCGACCTTGTCCATTAAATTTTTCTACAGCGTTTTGACAGGATTTCGATATTGCTGTCCTGATGTTTCTTGCCTCATTGTCAACAGCCAGTTTAGAAGCAGACAAACAATCTAGTTACTAACATATAGTTATTATGATTACCTGGATCTTCAAGGCTACAAACAGCTACAGCAAACTCATTTCTCATCATCCCCATGAGTGCCAGGATTGTCTCCCTTGAGGAAATGTTACCTAGAGCTTCCCACAATCCAACAGTGTTACCTGTAAAAAGATTTCACATAGGAGTACTTCAATATTGATAACACAATGTCCTATACCTTTGATGACTCAATCAATATTTAGCTTCCTTTTATAGTTCTTAAAAGATTTGATTCAAATTGACACTAGTTTGTGAAGCAGGCGATTTTGATGATACATGCACAACTATAATCATCTACTGTATCTGTAACCTAAATGTACTTCTATTTGAAATATTTAAAAGAAAGTTCGGGTGGAATTAGTGTGAATGACCCTTTTCTGTTATTAAAATAACAGACTCATTGAAAGAAGTTGAATTATTTTTCTGCAAAGTACTGATACCTCAGCCCATCACGACTTGAAGTTTGCACAAACCAACATAACAGCAGAGAACAGGGGTAGGTACGTAGTTAAAATGAGGTAGGTACATGTAGGAAAAGTGGGAAAATCATTTTTTTGGTTTGATTTTTTACCTGTTGCCCTATAACTGTTGACTTCCTGTCTAAGTGTGACCTGCTTCTGTTGTTTTTCTCTGTCCGACATTTTGTCCCAGTTGGCCTTTCCGGACCTGTGGATCAGACAGTCCAGCAGGACACACTCTTGTAGCTGATTGTATTTAGCCTCCAGAGCCTAGCAAAGCAAAACAAATAGGTATTTTATTATTGTTTGTAAGTTCTAGTTCTTTAAAGCATCAATAACTAATAATTAATAAGAATTTCAGCTATCTAAACTAACAATGATAGCAAAATATGAAAATATGATTCAGATAGAATGAAATGAAATATATATGTTGTTATAATCAAAATATCACAATAAATATTAGTGAGACAATTATATTGGTAGACATAGAGGATATATTCTGAAAATGACATGACATCGGTTCCAGTATTTCTTTGATACACACATCTATAGACTTCAAAATTGTAAAGCACAAGTAAAAAGTATGAATACAAGCATCAGTCTACAATTATTTTTAATGCCAGAAATACATCACTTTATCTTCACTGTAAAACCTTTATTTAACAGGATAAATTTTTATAAATAAATGTTGCTTGTGAGGATAAATTCAGACCTTCTGTCTTTTAGAGACATATAAACTTAACTGATTTTAATATAAGTACTCTTTTGTGATTTGTACATGAATCACTATATTCTAATCACACAACCATTCCCTACCTTGACAAGCTCGTTTTCATGTGCCTTGCTCTGCGTCAAGATAACAAACACGTTTTCAAATGATTCCAGTCGTCTCTGTTTTTCTTCATTCTCATATCGCTTTTTCAAGTCATCTTCTTCCTATAAGATTGAAAGTAATGTTCTCAAATGAAAGACCTTTGTTACATCTATCCCTGAGCTGTTCTCATGAAAGTTAGGTCAAATATCCTTGCCCGGAGATTATGAAACAATCTTAAGTCTAAAATTATCTGAAGTTTTGACTTAACCATTCACAAATAAGAAAATGAAAAGTGACTTCATATATATATTTTCTAAGCAACAAATTAAGTGTAGGATTATTTCATGATCCCAGGGTCTGACCTAGTACTAATATTAATACCCGGCCTCCTCTGCCCTGAAATCTCTCGTCGCCAGAAAGCTACGTTATCGCATCTAGGCCCGACCATGCACATATTTGATAGAAAATAATTTTACTTCAAATATGAATTTAAAATACAAAGTTTTGCCATTATATGCATGTATTACAGAAGTTTTGTGAGTCTAGACAATTTGGGTACCTGAAGAATATTTCTGGATTAATGAATCAATTAGGCAAATATTTTCATTTTTGTTATTCATGAAATCAATGAATCTTTTGTTTTTTGCCAATACATTTTTCGTAGAACAGTTTGGCCATAGTTGTTCAAATAAAAAAACAAGTTCTTCTCTTCAATTTCTGTGACAAAGATTTTAGTAGGACTTTGGCAAAACCTTCTGGGTATCTGTGTGTTTACTGTTTATGTCTAAGGGCACAGGTAAATCACTACCTTATCTAGGTAAAAAGTCATTCTGCAATCATTTGTAAAAGTCACATGGACCTAGTACAGATTATATCACACTTCAAAAGTACAAAAAAGAAGCAGGAATCCATCTTTGATAAAGATTCAATTTTACTTAAAAGGTTATCCAACTAATTTTATGACTTTTATTCTTTATTCTGTAGTCCTTTTATTTTAGTTAATTTGTTAATTTTAATCTCAAAAAATATATCTACACACTGGACATCATCAGTGCTCAATGCTATCTTATCTAGATAAAACAACACAAAATACACACATCTGATATGTTGAATACATGTACTACTTACTAGCCTTCCAATCATGCCTAACAGTTTGGCCAGCTCCCGGTCCTGCTCCTCTTGAAGTTCTGTCAACAAGCTTACAGTGACCTCTTCCATGGATACTTGTTTCATTGACGACTGCTCCATGTCAGATTTTTTACACACTGCCTGTATGGCTACAGTTTCCTCCAGGACACAAATATGCTCCTCTTTGTCATCTGTTGTGTCAAAGTGTTAGATTTGTTATTAATTCAACCAATAAAAGAGTATTTTTGAATGGTATTGTTTTACGGTCCATCAAGAATTTGTGTTGTTTAAGACCAACCAAAGGAATAATATATGAATATGTATAGACTGAAAACTCTTGAAAAACTATTTCTCTCTTACAATGTTTTTTTCCAAAGTTTTTTGGAACATCACTAAAACCAGTGATTCTTTAATTTTAGATGACTAGAGTAGAAGAAGTCCGTTCCAAATACAAAAGTCTTGATAACTAACATACATTTTAGAGGTTCTGATAAGTTTGCTTTAAATAGATTTATTCTATATAGATATTACGGATTAATGATTATGGTCAGTTGTTCAGTTAACTACAGAACATGAACAGGGTTACCAACCGTGAGACGAAATCTCGCGCTTAGATGTCCTTGCTCATGCTGAAACACGTTTCATGCCACATGAGCCATAAATCTCATGCATTCGAAAATGTTTTCCCTCCATGTCATGCAAAGCCATGTCATGACAGCAAATTACGGGACAGGAATGATGGAATAGGATTGGGGGAATATTAAGGAGAAGGTAGGGGAAGTAACTCATGGATAAAATATCACTGGGACAGGAATGATGGAATAGGATCGGGGGAATATCAAGGAGAAGGTAGGGGAAGTAACTCATGGATAAAATATCACTGGGATAGGAATGATGGAATAGGATTGCGGGAATATTAAGGAGAAGCTAGGGGAAGTAACTCATGGATAAAATATCACTGGGACAGGAATGATGGAATAGGATTGGGGGAATATTAAGGAGAAGGTAGGGGAAGTAACTCATGGATAAAATATTAATCAGCACCAGTCAACCCAAAAATTATAATTTCACATTGGTTATAACTTATTATGTTTCATTTGAGATATTCATGAAAACAAAGAATGCCAAAAGCGTATAACTTATTCAACATACAAAATGAATGAATGAAAACAGGCCCTATTACCTGGATTCTCAAGGTTGAGCTGTATACGTTTTCTGTGTAGCTCCGCCAGCCTAGCCTTTTTCTCCTCATCCGAGATCTGGGAAGCAGCATCTGTCAGGTCCTCTAACCCCTCGTCCTGGAGGAACTGCAGCAGCGGTTCTCTTTCCTCACTATGGCGAAGCATCACCTCCGAAACAAGTGCCACCTGCCAGCCGCTCAAGTCACCTGGACAGAAGCATATTATGTATTAGTGAGTCATGTGATTTGAGGAAGTTGTAATGGCCGATCAACAAGGTCATAATGGTCATAGGGTAGAAAAGGGCAGGTGGGCTAACACATGTATAGACACGGTGCAGAAAGAGGGTGAATAGGATAAAGAAAGACATGAATTTGGTACAATTATCATTGATGTTATTTTATTAATGAGATAGAGTGAATTTAGAGCACAACATGAGGTGAATTCCGATATATAAATAATAACAAAAAATGTTTGTAAAAGTATGTTATAATTTTCTGTTATGGATTTGTTATCAGAGGTGAAAATGTGATTACATGAAAGTGATATTAACTTAGAGGAAGGCCATATAACCAAAAATTCTCCAAAATGAAAGTCCTTCAATGTTAATTCAGCAACAGATTTTTGGTGTTTTCGTCATTACACAAGATGGAATGTAAGACTTAGTACTGAGCATTGTGTTACAATTAAAGTGACATCATAAAGAGAATAAGGACTTCATGTTTCTTAAAATAGTGAGTCAATACCACAGATCTCAGATCTCAAGAGGATGACAATCCAATCACTAAGGATATATGAGAAATAGGTTTGTCATTTTATATTTGTATTGTAAAATAGGAAAGGTATCATTATGTGTTTGGTATATAGTCTCCAAGCTCTAAGTTGATATTACACATACCATCATTAGGTTTGCCTGAAGTCTCCCTGTGTTTCTTGTACCTCTCGTGATGTAGGAGGCGTTGCTGTCGGATCTGTACACGTCTGGTGGCTAGTAGCTTCTGCCTCTCTATGTCACCCGAGTGTCTGTTGGTGAAACATATCCAAAGCATTAATACAAAACAAAGGGAAACATGTTACTATGTTGAATAGAGATTATCTGTATGTTATTCTGAAACCAATAAATTATTGTGGGAACGCCTCATTTTTAATTCTGATGTCAGTAGAATTCCTTACATATTCAACTGTGTATTTCATTACATATTGCACTATAAACTAACTGTGTATTTCATTACATATTGCACTATAAACTATGGCATTTTGCATAGTATGAACATTGCTGAAAAATCTGCATGATCCCCATCTTTGAAAAAAAAAATCAAATTGATATTTTTAACAAATATGTATCTGTTATGTTTTCAGGTAAAATTCCCAAGATATGTATGTTTTTGTTGAACTTTTCATAAATATCAAAGAGTCATGTGCTATTAAGCAGTTGAAACTTTGTATATCACCTTTCTCCAGGTTGGCAAATGTTTAAGCTTATAAAACTTTGATCAACTGAGGCCTGACAAGGTGCTTGCCATATCGAGTAGTTTGGTTGTCTCCCTTGGATCGTTGACTTTATGTACCATACATGAGTTTCATGACAATTTTTTTTATTACAATTTTTCCTTTAGCCTGTTCATGAAAATGTCTGTGGCATTTTAATACAACAAGAAATATGCTGCCTTTTAATTTCTTTGTGCACTGTTCAAAAATCAAATTAACAACATTCTAGTGATGCCCACTTATAAGGAATTTTGTTTTGAATTCATAAAGATATTTTTGTCATCGGTGGATCCCCTGGGGAGAGCCGTGTCTTATTTTCAAATGTTATTGTGTGAATCATCTTAGCAATTTCAAAATCATCTGAAAATTTCTCATCTGACAGAGTACAGCTGACTATAGAGTGTAACATAAATAAACAACAAATAAATCTTGGGATATTTCAATCATGACAATCTATAATGGTCATCAGTTTGGCCTACATGTACTTTAACTTATGCATAGAGGATCTCAAACAGATTCCCATATCAATTTTATAAAACAAAGCAGCAGTGCCTTTAAAAGAACATAGGAATGATCAAATGAAAACATGATCTTTTTCCTGATTTTGTAACTTCATTGCAATGCTTTTTTGTTTAAATGGGATGCTGTTATTAAACTGGATAGCAATCTCAGTATATGATCTGATGTCTGAACCTTGTATGTTGTATTGTAATCAATCATTTTGATAACATTACATGTACAAACTTTTGCCAATTTTCTCCGTTACACTCGTACCTTCCATGAAGTGAGGCATCTATCCTCTCGAACAATCCCAGACAAAGTGCTGCCACTTCAAACTTATTCTCCATCTTAACTAGGAACTCTTCCAGCTTCAGTCTTAGGATTCGCAGCCTCTGGATCTTCTTAGGAATCTTACTGGTTTCTTCAGCATGTAACCATGACAACAGTGACTCCTCCTCACAATCGTACCGTGGGATCAAATCTGCGAGATGATTGGTAGGGATGAAACGCTCTGCAGGAACTTCGTCTTTAATAAAATAGATACATAAAATATTAGCATTAAGTTGTGTGATGCATGTATCATACAATCGTTACAATCAAATATTCAGATTATTGAAAAGTGATATTTATAATGTGGCAAGGGTCATTGTTTAGCTATCGTATTGTCTGTGTTTACTGTGTGTTACATCATCTTAATGGAAATTTTATTTTAGCTGTACAATGACTCTTTTTAAATCATCGTTTTTGCATATTCCTCTTTTGACAATGATTCTAACATTTTCTAATTATTTGCTTAAAATAAAAGGCTACATTGCCTTTAAATTTTTTAGAATCTGTATTTCATCAAAATTTAATTTTCTATCTTTTCATGGCAAGAACTCAAAGGTCAACGGCCCGTATTCATGAAACCCTTTTCATGCTCAAATCCAGATTTTTTCATGCTCAAACCCAGATTCTGTGCTCAAGTGCAATTTCTTGTGACAGTGATAAACTAATAAAATGATCATATTTTGTCAATGAAATGAAAGAAATGTTTTCAATGTTTAAAATTGACTTTTTGACCGTGGAACGCGATTTAAGCAAGTTACAAGAAACTGGTGAAAGTCGGCCTGAGCACAGTATTCGTGCCCAGGGCCCATTTTCATGAAACTCTTTTCGTGCTTAAGAATGTATTCTGTGCTCAAACCTACTTTCTTTAACTCGCTTAAAATCCTGTCACATTAATGGTATTCAGCCTTAAGTCTCTCCAAAATTCTTCCAGATCATAGACAAAATGTTAGTTTTTATTAATACATCACTGGAATAAGATATTGGGGTTGAGCACAACCTATGAGTTTGAGCTTTCATGAATACAGATCCAGGCCCCCTAACTATGTATTTTATATAAACATATAACACCAAATTTTACTATAATAAGAAGTTCAACATAAATGCTTCTCCCCTTACTCTTTATACCTTTTTCTTGTGAGGCATATATTACTGATTTTAACAGATGACAAAGCAATTTCTTGTATTTCATCAGGATTGAAAACTGTTTTTTCTCAGACACCATATGACAAATGAATGTCACTGAAGCTTGTTGTTCCAACACAACATTTATAATTATGAAAGAGTTCTGATTTAACTTCCAACTTTACCTTCAATCTGGCCTGTGGTTTCCTGTCTTGCAAACCTTGCCCCAAATTCAGACTTGTCTTCTCCAACCATCTTCCTCAGTGAAGGCAGTGTCTAAATACATAATATTATCCTCACTTTAATTGTTTCTATTTTATAGTAATGGTTTATATTTTTTAACTTTTTCATGCTTTTTAACCATTGAACTCATTCCCAGTCATTCAAAGTCTTCTGTCTGGATGAAATTATTTCATTGATTTAACGTTAAGCTCTTAAGAAGACATGTACATGAAACAACAACTTTTAAGGAGAAACTTTACATCAAAATGGACACAACAGGAATAATAAATGTTCCTGTCAAATACATATTGCACCAACCTTGCTTTTAGGACCAATGAGAGATTCCATATCTTCATACATTCCTTCTCCTCTCAGTCGTTTCTCCTCCCTCCTTTTCTGTCTTATCTCCTCTTTCTTTTTATCATCAGCAAGTCTGAGCAAGTATACAGTTACTCTTTCTGTATTTCTAGCATAATTTCTACATAATTTAACAACAGAGCAGACTTACAGTTAAGTATTTTTTCCATAATGCTTACATTTAAATACAATGTGTTACAATAGAATGATATTATGATAAACTCATATTTAATGAGTCGATACCTGTAGAAACTCTGTGGTATTCTAATGGTTAATAAATTAAAATATATATATTTCAATGCTTATTTGCATACCCTGATATTTCTTACAGCTCAAAAACAACATTTGGTGTGAACTTATAATGGCAGGTATGCTGATATACCATAGAGCCTATACATGACCACATGTAGTCGGTAACACTGCTGCGATCATGGGAGGACAGAATTTATACAAACCTTTTCCATTCACTGCCGTACTGGTCTCTAAGTGCCATAGTGAACACTTTTTCACGTATTGCGTTGTATTTTTTCTCCAGGGCCGACATGTAGTCCTGGTCTTCTTCACGTATCTCCACCTTACCCAGGATCACAAACGCTACATTCTCAAAATGTTCCTGTACTCGCGCCTTGTTCTCCTTAGCCAGGATAGCCAGCAAAGCATCTAATGACTGCAAATATAAAGCTTCCCGTTTCGATATGTTCTCATGAAAAGTTTTAAGTCACTAAAGAAGTTCCTGTTTTAATCAAATATCACAACAAAGTCTTGGCTAGATAAGAAGACTGGTACTTTGATTCAATGAAACAGTGGTTTGTAAATACTATACTACAAAATGATTTAAAAATACATAGATTTAACACAAACTAATTACTAAAACAAATTTCTGAAATTGAGAGTTTAATAAGATTATACTGGTTTCAACACAATATATTGAAACTTCCATGCCGTTGGGGTTGAGATAAGGGGATCTTAATTTGGTGGGGATTATTTATTAAATTGCTTGCCGTGAGGCTTAATTACTATGTGTTTGACAATTTAAGAATCTTTTTTTCCTAAGGGTTGAAAGATTCCTTTTCTCTTACCCAATCAACTCATGTAATGTTGATATTACAGGCTCAATGCTTTAATGGCCTTACATATAATTGTTATGACTGGGGATCGACCCCCCCATCTAATGTCCTCGGTTGAGACAAGGATTTGTTATAACGTCACATCAACTACATTGAGCCTGTTCAATAATACGTCAACAGTGCATTATGTACATGTATATGACTGGGGCAACAGAGTAAGAGAAAAAGAATCATTCACCCCTTGAGGTGAGATAGGGGAATCTCAACCCTCGGGAGAAGAATCTTAAGCCTCATGTTTGGCAACTTAAGAGTCTTTCCCCTTGGGTTGAGATTCCCCTATCTCACCACCATGGGGGTGAAAGATTCTATTCATCTCGCAGTGGGAGAAGCGTGGATACACCTGTCCAGGGTAAGAGAAAGCTGACATAGTTTTACTGTATGCCTCGCAGAACTCACATCAGCCTTTGTCCGCATGTCTGTGAGCCTCATTTCCACTTCCACTTCCTGTTGCTGTTCCAGATCAGCCAGAATACTCTCGTTGACATCTCCCTCAGACAGTTTGTTGTTCTTTTGGCGCATTTCCTCAAGTCGATTTTCATAGCACAACCCAACAGCTACAATGAAAGAAAATATATGATGTAAAGTGGAAGTATTATGCCCAAATCATAATATAATGAATAATAATAAAAAAAACAACCAAATTGTAATGAAGCAATCTGATAGACTTTTCATGTCATTTGCCTTATTAAGACTAGGGCTACATTCGCGTATCCTGGTTGAAACGGTACGTGTGGCGCAGAAATTTTCCACGATAAACGAACACACTTGGACCGTTCTATAAGCAGAGCTAAAAATCCACAGTTTCGGAGAATAAAAAACAGTGTTTCAAGAATATTATGACCTTCTTTCATCCGTCCACTGAATTACATAACGTGTCTTAAAAACTACATGTGACTTGACATTGTTTTAGAAAGAAATAACACAAATTGGCAATAGTCAGCATTTTAGTTTCGGTCCGGCACATCTGGACCCCTCAATCTACACGTGCCAAATTTTCCTGAGGTCGGCGTCGGTCCAGATCTGTACCTGTCGTTTTCTTTACAGGTTCAACCGGTTCAAACGTTTCAACCGGTAACGCGAATGTACCCTATATCAGCCGTTTAGAACTTCAAAGCAGCAAACCTGACATATATGTAAATCAAGGCACAAGCCTGATATAGGCCAAATATTAAGGTGTTAACATATTTCTTTTCTGTGACCTTGAATGAGATCAATGTTGTATCATTTAAAAAAAACATCCCAACAATTACAGGCCTCTAGTTGATCTTGCTATGGCTAGATGTCATGATGCTATGCTTCAAGAAACTCAAAAGAAAACCTTTTTTGGAGGCAAATCAAGGTACTGAAATATCAAGTATTGACATTTCAATGACGTATCAATATTTTGAAATGATAATTAACCTTGACCTTTGAAGTTATAAACCTGAAGCTTCATTAAAACCCTTTACTAGCATATCCTCTCTAATATCTAAGGACGAAATGAAACATTTTTGAGGTTTTCAAATTGGACTTAACTTTGAGTTGCTTGCAAGATAATGAACTTTCAACAATGCATAAAAAAGTTTTGCCCCATCCTCCTCTAAAATAGATGTATCAACAAAAACTTTAACACTACTGAAATTAAAGTAGACTTGTTTCGTTAAGTGTCAGAAACTGTACCATCATCAAATATCTGTTTCTAGCATTGATCTAAGACCTTGATAAGCTACTTTAGGCCTAAAAAACCTAAGTGGTCAAAGTTTAAACCCTCTCAGAAATTAAACCACAAAGTCTGTTACTATTTTTAATCAAATGACCATAATCTAGCAGTTTATTTAAAACTGAACAATGTTCACACCTTCCTGAAGAATTTTCCCCAGTACGTCGTGATCAATATCCTTGTTTCTGTTGTCCCGCCAGCTCTTGTGTTGATTACAGAGCGTCTTAAGGCGTTTGTTCCTCTGTTCCATACTAATACGCTTGGCACTCGCTTTGTGTACAGCACTGTCTCGTCCCTGCAGCATGTTGATAAGTGCCTACCAAATAGACAGATGGAAATGGTTTTGAGCACTTATAATTAATGGTGATCCAGTTCTAGTACAGATTATAAAGATTGAATAGATTCTTTAAATTCTTTTTTGATAATTTTTTTGAATCATTAATGAAAAGGAAACGGCAAGATATTTGCTGCAGAGCTGGCCCAAACTTTATATGACTTACAGAAACATTACTGTTAAATAGAAGATGACACTGGGTTTTTCAGCATCCCCATTTGTTGAATCATAATAAGGAGAGGTTGGTGATTTGTGATAATGACTTGGTGTTTCTATTTTTAGAAACATCGGGTCATTATGCTCTTAATTACATCACTTCAACTGTAATGTCAAAATGCTGTCTGCCAAAATGCATTGTTTTTCTTTTGACAACGTTCTTATTCTTCGTATGGACTTCTGTTAAGTTGAATCTGTGGCCAATATTAAACATGCTATTCATTCTGAATGGTAAAAAAATACAAAAACTTCAACAATATATCAAAATGATTACAGCTTTGTAACTATGATTTCTCCACAAGAACTGGTTTAAATTCAAACCGTTGTTGTCGTCTCACTTTTCCAATATTTCTATTTTAATTTCATTTATGTTCCAGTTGCATGTTAATTAAATGAAACAACAGTTTATGTTGTACAACCTGTAAACCGACCTTTGAACTCTATTATTAAGAAATCAAAATAAGATAAGATGTATTACATCCTGTTCAGGTCTTTTGGTCACAGTGTTGGAGTAATCTGGGTACCAATCTCATTTTGACATCAAATTTAAACATTGACAGAAATTCTTAAATGGTTGCAATTTGAAGTTTGTTGCCTGACAGAAATGTTAATACCATGTATAGAAAACATTACCTACCAGGTAGGTAATTTGTTTTCAAATCAGACAAACAGATAGACAGAAAAGGCAAACACCTAATGCCCTATTCACTAATTGGGAGTGAGGCAACCAGATGTATCATCAACCAAAACAAACAACCTAAAAGACACCTTAGAATCGCCTCTCTAGTTTTAAATGTAAATACTTTCACACAATTTGTTTTATTTTACTTGTATTTTTTTTTCACAATGTAGTATTTTGAACATTTATGATGGTGTATATGTACATGTAACCTATGTGCTGACAAACTTATTCTATGTGTATCTTGGAGGATATGATCCTAAGCAACTGCCTTTTATACTATCAAGAATATTGAGGGTATGTATTCTAATCTTTTAAGGTACTACAGTGTTAAAATAATAGAAGGAAAATAAACCAATCTAGCACCAACAATTGTGTGAAGAAAAAAGGTACGGAATTGAGGTAATTATCTCCCTTTAACTGTCACACCATGGCTTTAAACGGGTCAGACCACAGTTGTTCGTTTATTAAATAAGGTCGGACCTAGTAATCTGATGCTGCTTTCAGGGGAGCCTTGACTAAGCCGCACAAGGCCTGCATAAACATTTGCAGGTTCGCCAGGACTAATACCCGAAATTGTAACATTTATAAACGGACAAACCGGTTGTTCTGCTTATAAGAACAGGCCCTATCATATATCCCTTGAACAATTTTGAATTAAAACATCGGGACTTATTTTGACTCATCATTTCAAGGAATTAAAAAAAGGTTCCATTAAATGATTGATACAAATGTCTTTAGTACCTGACTGATAATTGTTGTACAAAAACAAATCAATATGCTGTCATTGCAGTATATTTAACTTCATCAATTTTCATTTTCTTTGATCTGATGGTTTACCTCTCTTTCGTATGAGTGTTTCTTGACAATTTCTGTAATTATCTCCCTTTGAGTGCCAATAGCCCCACTATTTGATGCCTGGTTTAGGTCCAACATGTCTCGCCCACTTCTCAGCTGCTTGTGGCCCTTCCTAGCATCCAAGCGTATCACAGCCAACCTCTCAGCCCTGCTGCGGTCCCAGTCAGATTCACTGAAACAAAACAAAACATATAAATACATCATACACTGTAAGTGCTCTGTAAAGATAATAGTGCATTTTGCACTAAAATATGTATGTTCATATTTATCAAAGATTGTATAGGAGTTGTAGCTAATGCTTGTTTAGAGTTAACATAACAGTCTTTTTCTCTAATTCAATGGAAAGAATTCATATAAACAGGATGAAAATCAATTTCAAAGACAAGTTTTGTAAGTAGGTCCATACACGTTCTTACTAAATCCAGACTATTAGACAAGTAGGCTGCACAAGGTACAAACCTGCTTGTTTTGTACTGCTGTGGACGTTCAGCTAGACCCACGGCTATGGCAGCTCCGACAAACTTTCCCTCCTCCCCCAACAACAAATGCTGCCGTGACAACCGATTGTACTCCATGGTTACAGAGGAATTCCCTGCAGTAGATCTCAACCAGGTGAAGATGCCGTCCTTCTCCTCCTTGTATCGTCTTTGTAGATGAACTAGTGTGGCACCACATGTTGTGTCTCCTTCATAAAGAAAAAGTTTAAGATATGAATGTATTTATGTACTGTAAAAACATGTCCAATTTGTACACTCATGTAAATGCAAAAAAAATGGGTAATCAAAAACAGTCAAACTTATTCTTTTCAGTTAGATCAATAAAATCTCATAACTATAATTTAGCATCACATGAAAGAAAGAGACTTAAGCACTTTAATCCCCCACCTTATTTTGTTTCTTTTCTTCTTTTCCCGATAAGGTCCATAATTAACCAAAATAATTCTACACTAGCAAGTTACAGACTAGAGAAACTTTGTTTTACACATATCCCCTTTATTGACTTGGAAGAACGTCAATGCCATTTCTATGTGTAAACCTGATAGTGTCTCCTCACAGCAAGCTATAGACCAAATTTCATAATTCTAGGTCATTTGGTTTCATAAAAGTGGTTTTATGGAAACGTTAATGCCAAACTTACCGGCAATGGACATTGTCCTATATCATAAGGCCAGTCACTGTATACGAGGTGACCTTTGATGTTTGATTTTAACTTGTATGGTGATGTTTAATTATGTTTACTTCACTTACATCTACATTTTTGCATACCAGTGTATCAGTTGACATATTGGATTCTGATCCTTTCAAAGAAGATAGTTATTAGATATCTTCCCCGTTTCCACTCAACAAATTATTCCTGAATCTAGATCTATGAATCATGTTGTAAGTAGTTCACACTTGTCTGTGTAGGAAAAGAAAAAGAAAACTTTCCACGTCTGCTGATTTTTACCTTCTATAACTTTCTGGTACTCTGTCTGAATGGCCAGATCAATTTCCTTATCTGATATGCCTTGACCTTTCATATTGTTCCTGATTTCATTCATTTTCGTCTTCTGTTTATCGTTTTCAATTCTGACTTCTCCCATCAACCCTGTCAAAGTAGCCTTCAGGTCAACCTTGGAGCCAGGAAGAGTGTTGACTTGCTCTTCAAAATGACCTTCCCTGCGGAGTTGACGTTCCTGAGAACACAACTGTTGAAATATTTCTGGTTGGTCCCCATCAATGGCTGAAAATATGGAAATATTTGTCATATTTGCAGGAATCTTGAATAAAAATGCAATTTAATCATAGTGAAAATAATATGATACATTGTACATTCCTAGAAGGATTTAACATTGTTGGAGTCAGATGCACATGATTTGGTGCTAGCCTTTTGTTTAACATTCCCAACCCCAACGTACGCCACATCGTTAAATAAAGCACTGCTTTCTGTTCAGAGTTATAATCCATTAATTCTGAGCAAGATAGCAGAAATAGCATTCTTTAGCATATTATGACTATAATCTACAATTCTGTTCAGAATTATTGGACTAAATTGCATGCAGTTTTTAGTATTTGTATTTTCATTGATTTTGACAAAATTTATATCTGTTTTTCAAATGGAGGTAGATTTTCAAAAAGTGGAATGTTATCTGCCAGTATGAGTTATTTATCTCCTATATTGTGATTGTGACAACACAATTATGATGTCATGATTATCACTCCAGATTTATGGTCTCATAAATCACAGCTGACTTTGGTAGATAACCTGTTAAACCTTTATTTATAAGTTGACCCTGATTTATGATCTCATAAATCACAGCTGACTTTGGCAGATAACCTGTTAAACCTTTATTTATAAGTTGAACCTGATTTATGATCTAATAAATCACAGCTGACTTTGGTAGATAAACTGTTAAACCTTTATTTATAAGTTGAACCTGATTTATGATCTAATAAATCACAGCTGACTTTGGTAGATAACCTGTTAAACCTTTATTTATAAGCTGAACCAGAACAACAAGACCTACATTCAAGTCCAATTTCATACTTTCATGCATAAATCAACCCGTGTTAATCCAATACTTTCTCTATTCAGATCAAAGCAAAATCTGATGTTCAGTTTAGACAGGTTTCACTGTACATTCGGTAATAATGATAAAACCTGTCATTCATCTCATTTAAAGATAACACATGTAATATATTACAGTACCTGATGACTTAGCAGCCATCTCATACAAAAGTTTCTCTCTCAGCATGTCATATTTGACCTCTAACGCCTCGATCAGGTCGTTTCTTGTCACATGATCTTTAGGTTGTTTTTCATCCATGGTGTCATCTGCCTCTAAGCCGTCATCATTCAACATGGCCTCCAGTCCGTTCCTCTTCCACCTAGTCACATACATGGTGGTATGATGTTACACATCAACTTTATTGGTTTTCCAACTTAGGTATATATTAATCAGTCTTGTTGGCCAGGATGGAAACTGGCAGAGGGTTTTAATGTGGTAGGAAATTGGAGTATCAAGAGAATACTCATGTGGTCGGGTAGGTGACCTCATACCTTTTCACACCCAATCAGGGAGTCAAACCCTGGCCTTGTTGGTGAAAGGTGAGTGCGCTATCCACTGGGGTCAAACCCTGGCCTTGTTGGTGAAAGGTGAGTGCGCTATCCACTGGGGTCAAACCCTGGCCTTGTTGGTGAAAGGTGAGTGCGCTATCCACTGCGCCACCCCACCACCCAACCACCTGAGCAATGGTATGATATTCCATGACATAATAACCAACAAATTAAACACCTCTTTCCAGAGGGAGCAGTTAGAGTACTAAAAATTAAAGGATTTTTTAAAAATAGAATATACGTATACATGACAAATTATCACGGTTACTGTTGTCTTATGCTACCAAGCAAACGATTTTCATTTATTTTGAGACTTTAAGGTTTGATATTGTATACATACAAAAAATGTAGATGTATTGGACAATTTTCATTGTTTCGGTTATCAAGAGATAAAGCTACATTTCAGTTAATTGGTAAGTGTATATCAACATCTAGATACTTACTTGTTCAGTTTGCGTTTAGCGTTGTAATTGATGTAATCTCTGTGGTCATCCATGTCTTCTGTGTTGTTCTACAGCCAAAAACACATTATCAAATATTAGTACATATCCAAATTTGCCATCAATTTAATTGCAAATAACACATTTAACAGTGACCTATTTTATGAAATGGTCTATGATATTTAAAATCCAACATTCACCGTCTCAGAGGGGTTCCGTTATGTGATCACTGTCCCTGGAGGGACCACTTTGATATCATTCACCTACATGTACAGCTTGTTATAATTCTTCTCTAAAAGGCACAGTTTTTTATTATAATATTTTTTTTATATTTATTTTATAAGTCTGTGTATTTTCTTTTGGAAGAATTACTGATTTCAGCTGAAAAACCTCTCCCATCTTTAAAGTTCTTTGAATCCTCTACTTCCAGGGGAGATAATCAAATATAACATTCTTGGAGTTTCAAGGAAATAATATATGTTAGGCAGACTGAAGTAAGATATTATAGCAGTGTTAATGTTGTTTCTTCCTACCATCAGTTTTTTGACAGCATCCATGTTGTTGAGATCATGTTGTTGCTGCTGTCGATACAACCGCTCCTCCTCCTCTGTGATGGTTTCCTCGGATGCTGGATCTCCAGAGGGGTAACAACACAGCCACATACGAATCTCATCAAAAAACACATTGGCTCCAGGGGGTTCGTCGCGAGATTCTATAAAATCATACCAAGTTTTCATAGAAAATCTTTCACCGTGGAACTCCCTAAAAAGTAATAAAGTGTCCGGTAGGGAGATCCTATTGGTGGCTCCATAATCAAAAGCCTGGAAATCCCAATAGGCTTGTTGTTCTACAGACTGTCTCCGGGAAACCTCTTCCAGTACAGCCAGAAAGGAATCCCTGGAGATGCGTCCTCCAGCCTGGTAGCCACAGACATGGAGGACAGACGCTTCAACTTGGTCAAATGTGATGGCATCGTAGGCCATGTTGCTATAGTAGTCATGAAGTTGTTCTGTAGTGACAAAACCTTTACAGGCAGTGTCGATGCTGTTAAAGATTGCATTGAAGTTTTGAATCCCCATTTCGACGATGTGCTTAAATAAACCAGTTCTGATATGAAATGCTACAATCCTTGTCTAAAGAACTTTCCAAAAGACCAGCTCTGGATCATATATTACCTGAAATATATAAATTTAGGGAGTTAAGTAATTGTGATAACCAGCCATCACAATATCTGGGACTTTTTTGTCCCAAAATATTTGTATTATATCTAGAAAACCATATTTCTCTTAGAAATACACAATTCCTGTTTCTGATGGGGGAACAATTAGTTCTGCAAAACATTGATACATGATCAGGAGGTAATATCTGGCCAATACAATCACATTAAGGTTGTTATATGGAATTACCCACATGTGAATATCATGAACAAATGTTAATCAACTCATTGCATATTTATACAATGGCTTAGGAGTGGAAACGAATATAGCAGTTATGGGAGTAATGTTAGTCTGTGACTCAATATGTTATTTTAAACAATTTATCACAGGTGCTAGCTAGCTATAAACATATATCTTTGAAACAGTTTTTTTTATGTCATTGAGCTACGTGCATGGATTATCTATCCATACCACAAAAAAAGTAATCTATGATGTCGAAATTCTCTATGCCTAGGTCTAGATCTCTATCCATATTAATATCTACTGTACATTCGACAGTGTAAAAAATTAATCCTTGTTCACTATAATTATGTAAGCATCCGAGGAAAGTCTCAGCCTTTGCAATCACATGCCATATCTTGATCACCTAATGTTACTTAGATATATGTATACAGTTGTACATGCATTTTACGTGAATTAATTTAGTTCTATATCAAACATAATATTTAAATAAAATAACGAAGGTGGTGACAATTTAGGTGGTCGTTTTGTGTCCTAATACAGTGTCAATCTTCCTGATGAACTTCCTTGGGTTATTGCTTTTGTTGGATGTGAAATATGGTGGATGAAAGATACACTTGTATGCTTTACATGCGCCATAGTATTTATAAGCTATTGTTCTAACACTCAGTGACAGTGACAATGTCACTGAGTGTGTCACAATAAGTACTAAAAATATACTTTCTTATATGGATGCAAGTCTGTAAGTAAAATATATGTACATACATTATTTATTTTGAGTCTGATTTTCCGACCATGGCAATATACAACTTAAATTGTACATGTTAAACAATCGTCACACCTGTCCAATCATTATACATGTATATAAATGGTTTCTGTAATAGCATGTACATATTATTTTCAGGTGTACATGTATCAGTACATCAATAAGAATGAAAACATAAGCAAACAACCTTAATTAAGAGCATACCTCCATAAATGTTTTGACATGCTATAAACTTGTTACTGGATAGATAGATAAACCAGAGACGTTTATACTGTGGCTGTATATGTCTCTGCCTCTTGATATATAAACGTGACATATACTTGAACAGTAAAAACCATATTCTACTGTTTTGTATTGACTGCAAAAACATCACATTGCGTCCGTTGTCATTATAACTGCAAATGCACGTGGAGATGATAGGCATGGATGAGCATGCTTTATAATACGGCTTCCCATAACTTATTTCGTGTTAGTGACTTTCTGATGACCTAACATACTAACACATCGTTTGTCTGTTTGTCTGTTTGTCAACTTGACAGTGAGCGAGTGAGCCACTGTGAGGCAATAAAGTTTCCTTGTAGGTTTACTAACAACACACCGTAAACACGTATCTTTAAATGATGTCTTACCGTTACAGTTAATCCACAAAGGTCCAGCCTCGTGATTAAAACGATTGAATAATTCGGTAAATTACATGATTTTGGAGATAATCAAAAGAGAAAGTAAGTGTTTGTGGCCGCCATATTTGATTATTGTATACATAACCACCAAGGTGCTTCTTAACGTCACAAATAAGCTAAACCAATCACAGTCAGGCTTTCATAGCCTTTTTGGCTCGACAATGTCAAGTGTGCGCGAAATTTAAAACAAAAACATTAGGTCGACTGGCCCTAAATGTCTTTGCTGCCAAACGCCTTTACACTCAATATGGGGCGTAATCAAAGTTTAAGAAATTTATTCCGTTTTTAACATTTTCGCACTCCAAATAATCTAACGTTATCTATCTATCCATACTGCAACACCCTCTCGCTAGTATTTAAATAGCTCTATACACATATGCTTTACTGATATGGGTCATAGCACACATAAACATATGTGACACATATCAGTATAGCAAATGTGTATTTCTGTCGTTTGTTACGAACCCCTGTGGTCTATGTGCAACGTGTGCGTCTGTGCATATTAAACGGTAGCAGACTGGTATTATATACTTAATTTATCAGTATAAGAAATCTTCAGAAAAAAAAGGTTGAGTTTGAGGGAAATGAAAAAAAAGCCATGAGAAAAAGTGGTATAGGAAAATGCTACCCATCCAATCTAAATATTATGGAACACCTGCATGATAGCTCTTCTAAAACATAACTTGACAAAGTGTACTGGAACACTCCCAATGTTATTACAATAGTTTTCGACAATTCCTTTGCATCTCTCTCTTGTCATGAATATACAGCTTCTCAGCATTACAGCACAATAAGGTAGATTTATTTATCACCTCTTGGTGTTATTTCACTGCGACTGTCGTTCCTGTCTTTTGAAATGTTGTCTATAAGAGTCATTTCATATAACTGAACTTTCCTTATTATTTCCCACAAAACAATGGTGGAATTGATAATGTTTCCATCATAGTGCATACTCTGTAAAATCTCTTAAATATCGATCAGATGTCTGTCTATTACACATTTCTTAATATAATACATATATTTTTGTATGTTTTGATTTGTACAGCTATTCTAATTATGCATGTTGAGTGTGGTGCTCAAAAGGGCCCTAATTTGGAAATCGAGTACATTTTAGTTTTAATTTTAATTCATTAAGATACTGACATTAACTAGTCAGCTCTGTTGGTTCACTTAATTAATGGTCGACTCACGGGACTCGTATTTTTTTATGTTCATTTCTTTTCCCCTTTAAATGAAAAGCACACAAAGCAATGGTTTTCTTTTCAGAAATGCTATAGTCATGACGAACCCCTCCCCACTCCCATCTTCCCATGCATAACCAAGTTTCTGGTAGTTATTGTTATTCATATATCAAGTAGGCTTCTCCCAGCCCTTGGCAAAGCTGAAAATATTATGTCTTGTCTATATATAGCTACCTCCCAACCTGTTCTTCCACTTTGTTTCTATTTCTTTTTCTCGCTTTCTTTTTCTTTTCTTTAAACGTCTTTAATTCTTTCTACATGCTATTTGTCTGCCCAGCCAATAAAGTGCAATATACATTCATGTAAATCTGATCTTATTTATCACTGCAGGAATACAATAGATAATTTATTGGTTTTTTTTTGTTTTTTTTTGTTACTGCATATGCTTCCTCAACTTTATGTGTATGATGTCAGGATGTGAGAGTCATGTGACATGTGGAAGGTGATCTTGTTTTCTTGATAATAACAGTGAGGATGATGATCACATGTACATGATGCAAGTATTTATGGTAATGACCAGTGTTGATTTGTATTTTTTCTCTGTATGATTATAGCGATACAATGATATTGCTTTGATGATGATGATGATGATGATGAGATGATGATGATGATGATAATAATGATGATGCATTGTATGAAATATGATGAGATGTTGTTTTGCATTAAAAAAAAGTGATGATGAAGGTGATGAGAATGATGATGAGGATGGTGCATGTCTGTGAGATGTGTTGGTAATGAGGCTATTGTTTATGATGGATGATGCTTGATGAATGATGATAATGATAATTGCTAATTTGATGAAGATGTATATTGCACATGAAAATGAAAATAAAAATCAAATTAAAAAAAAAAAAAAAGAAGTTTCTGGTAGTGGCCCAGGATCCTTCAGGATATGTTCGCCCGATTGTGTTCTCTATGAAACACTATTCCACGAGCAGCCTAACATCAGCTGTACTTAATGTTTGCTTCTAACAGTTCACGCTTTGTTCTCATTGCGTTAATTGCCCTGTACAAAGTGGAAGCAAATATTGGCACATTGACTCTTCTCAATTAACGGACTATATAAATACAATAAATTGGCTAATTGTAATTAAGAGCAAAGTCTATTATGTTTCAAACTATTTTAATGAAATCATAAGATCGTTTTTTTAGTTTAAACATATTTTATTGACAGGCAAATGGATTGGGCACAAGTTATCAAACTTATATTAAGCCCTTTCCTAGCAAATTACAAGCATGTATTTACAGTAGTACAACAAGATGGCAGAATTAATATACATATATACACTATTTCATTTTTAAATGTTTTAATTTATAAATTGAAATTATAAGAGAGAGACAGAGAGAGAAAAGGGGGGAGGGGGAAGGGAGAGGGGGGAGAGGGGGGATAATAGTCTGTAGTTATAATACATACATCCTCATCATTATTAACGTATGACGTATAGAATCTGCCTCTTAGAGAGAGTGGATATTATGGTTCAATTGAGAGAGAGGGATAAATATCCATGGAAGCAAGTAATACAATAATATCATATTTTATGAGCACCTCAATAACTCACACATACCCACTGTACACTAAACTAGGACCCACATTCACACCACAAAACACATTCGTACAATTTATGGATATGTTTTACAAAACACTAAAGTCGTCTGCTCAACAAAATTCTAAACTAGAATACTCTGATAACCCATATTACCCTATCGACAACAGTATGAATTTGTGGTTTAATCATGTCACCGTACAGTTTATCCAATTTAATATAAAAAAAACTTGAAAGAACAGCGCTTATATTACAGTCTCCGAGAAAAAGGGAAGTGGTGGTACAGTTTAGCTTTTGATAGCTGTCGTTAATAAAGAAATATTCCCATATACATTACCAATAATTTTTTCGGAACGATTCCAGGAACGGGGTAAAAAAGTGGGATAAACTGTTGATGCAACAACCATTGATGATGCAATTCAATTACACGTCATAAAAAACTATTCATAACATTTTTAAATGACAGCGTTTACCGTATTTGCCGTACCGATAATTAGCGCACAGGGCGCTTAAAATCAACTTAAATGAGGGCGCTTATTAGGATAACAAAAAATGTGAATTATGATAGAACAAGCTGTGCAAATATTACCGTTGCTAAAGTACAATAGAAGGACAATATGTTTCATCGCTTTACATGAAATGCAGCCATGGTCACTAGACATTAATTTCTGCTTTAAAGCGGAAGTACTGTAGCTCACTGACCGAGCCTGATCAGTCTTGGGAGGTGGAAATGGTTATATATTATTACAATTCCTCCCGGAAAAGGGGAGGGGTATAGGGGAGGGTCGCTAATTACGGCGAACATAGTATCTTAAAAAGTGATATGTGCATACATAATAATATAACATTTTATCATTTGGAAATTTTATAACATGGGATGATATGTTTTCTATCTACGCCTGTCTCATGTGGGACAACCGTGTTGGATTAAAAAAGCGTTCACCCCCTTGGGGTTGAGATTATAGGGGAACTACTCTTAATTTACCAAACACGAGGCAAAGGTCAGTAACAAAATTCAAGATAATGAAACGATATTAATTACATTCAAATTAAAGTAATGGAAATATAACCAAATCATCGCTTAATAGGATTTCGAGATAAAATGCGTATTGGAGATATGTTTCGTAATAACGAATCATTTTGATCATACTATACAATAAATATTGCCTACGTTTCACTAACCATGCATGTTACAAATGACTCTCAATGCAAACACTTGTTCGTTATCATCACAGCAGCATGATGTATATCTCTAATACATTATTCATGTAAACAGAAAGAATTGTTATTTCACACTTAAATTGTACTTTTGAAACAGAATATTTACAAAGAGTAATGTATAAACACTATGTGACCGCGTGTTAACTTAATCATCTTTACCAGGTGCATGTGTCATGCTGAATTCTCGTGATGGTAATTTATGGCAACGTCACTCGAGTTTTAATTAGCACAGCAATTGAAGTCCAATTGTTTGATTGGTTTTGTGTGGTTAAACGTTCTTTCAATGTCATTTAAGGACGTGCTCCATGTTTGTAATACATGTGTGCATTTGTGTATGTGTGTATATGTGCTGCCTCATTACGATAGCGCGGATATGATGCCGACTTTATCGTGTTATCTCACTGAAATATCATGCCGAAGGCACCCAGCACAGCATTCCGCCCTGTCACATTATACTGACCACGGGTGAACCAGTTGTTGGCATTCCTAATTGCTGAACATTAAGCAGGGAATAAAAACTTCCATTTGAGGACTTTGGTATTTCCCGACATGGGTACAGCACCCATTTTCTCCCACACTTCACAGGTACATTCCCGTTTTTGGTAGGGAAAAGATAAACCTGTCTTCAAGACAGCTGACACGCGCTATTACGTCACAGACAAAGCACTTCTTTCAACATGACATGTGACCCTGTGCACTTTTAGCAAAACCGATTTCATCATCAATTGTACACACATGTATTATATACATGTAAACAAAACATGGCAAGCTCAGCATTCCGATAGTTCAAAACAGGCAGTGTGTTGAAGTAGGAAAACATGGTGAAAAGGGAAGAATTGTTGATGAATTCAATTGATGATAGTTCGGTGCATTGGGGTCAAAAAATACAACTTCGCAGTGAAGGTATTTTTTACGGTATGAAAATGTGGGAGAAAAATAATCAATCACTCCTGTGTGATGTAGACAGAGATATCTCAACCCTCGGGATGAGATATTTTTTAGGTTCAGCACTCGGCTTTAAACCTAAAAAAATATCTCGCCCTCTGGTTGAGATATCTCTGTCTACATCACACAGGAGTGATAGATTCTATTAGACTTCCTCACATGGGCGAACATTAATATTCAAGTGAGGTACTATATCAAGCAAGCCTTGTGGGAAACAGCAGGTTTATACTTTTCACAATCCCCACCTGTAGGGGTAAGCTAATGTACAAGCTCAACAATATTCGAATATGAGTGTTATTCAAAAGATGAAGTTGAAATTAAAAAAAAAATGCTTATCATCATGTATTCAAATGCTAAAGTGCGCCATCTAACTAATAGTTTTAAAATCACATTTAAAATGTATGTGACATTCTGTAAGCTTGTTTTATACATGTACTTCAATATACACGCATTTGGCAAATAACAGGTCTTAATGTCAAAGTGATTTTAAAGTTCGAAGTCAATTATCCCCACTGGTACATGTAAATTGGATGTTGATAACTGCTACTGCAGCCTCCTTTTCTTCACACCTGAAAGACAGAGAACTAAATCAATACTACAATACAAAGAACAATTAAATTAAATCAACAATCTGACTATAGAACATATTTTAATGCTACCCCTATTGAACCAACGAACATCTTACTAAGGATCCACGTACTGCTGCCAAACACCACTGTACCTAAGCACGGGAAAAATAATTCCTACATGACTACTGCTTTGATAAATCATTTCTAAAGGAGAAAAAAACATACATTGTAGGATTCAGCGTTTTGAGTATAAAAATCCAAATGTGCTAATCTGGGATTTGAGCTTTAGATTTCAGGTAGTTACACTTCCCTAAGCTTCCCTGTCCCACTGCACTGTGGTTTTTCGTATCCTTAAGGATATAAATGTAGCACAGCTGGGCAAGGACACTTATGTTGAGCAGGAAGCTCAGTCGGTTTGTGATAGTTTAATTCCTGAACAGCTGAATGACGGTTTCCAATCCTGGTCTAGCCCCTCTGAATGTTAAAAAATGTTGCATATGATTTTGATTTATATTTCATCATCTATAATATTTTTTCATGAAAGTCCCGCTGTTATGATTTTCTTTTAGAAAAGATTTATCAAAGCTATAGTCATGTCGGAAAAAACCCTTTCGTATGCTTAGTTACAGTTTGGGCGTTGGAGCGGGGAGGCTCAAATCAATATATCCCTGCTGCAATGATACAGCAAATCCAAATTTAAACTCAGATATAACTGTACTCGCAAACAAATATTGTACCGCAATAATGTGTGTGGAAATTGTATTGAATGTCCAAGTAAGCACATATACGTTTGAAAGTATTTTACTGTAGTGTTTATCCAAAGAACTTGCAGATTTACAAAGGCATTTCCGCTTATTAACACTGAAACATGAAATGTCACATGTTTGTCTTCAAATCTTACAATGTGTTGAAATATTATAGTTTGAAACCGTTTCGAGGGAAAACTAGGATAACGCTAATATGGATACATGTATGTGGAATATGTTGGCAAAAGAATGTTGAATAAAAACTAGTTTGGCACTACTTTAAAATATTACTGATGTTAACTGGTGTCGGCTTTTAAAATGATGAAGATATCACATTTCTTATACAATATTTGATGATGTTGTTGTTGCTGTTGTTGATGTTGATGATGATGATAATACTCTGTACTAACGATGATGGTGTTGTTGATGTTGTTGGTGGTGTTGTTGATGTTGTTGGTGGTGTTGTTGGTGGTGGTGTTATTGGTGGTGTCGTTTGTGGTGTTGTTGTTGTTGGTGGTGGCGGTGTTGTTGGTGGTGAGGATGATGTTATTGATAACGATTATCGTGGTGGTGTGTTGTTGTTGTTGTTGTTGTTGGTGTTAGTGTTGTTGATGGTAGTGGTCCACGGTGGTGGTGGTGTTGGTGGTTGTTATTGTTGTTGTTGTTGTTGTTGGTGATGGAGTTGGTGTTGTTGTTGTTGGTGGTGGTGGTGTTGATTGTGGTGGTGTTGTTGTTGGTGGTGGTGGTGGTTCTGAAGTTGGTGTTGTTGGTGTTGATTGTGTTGTTGTTGTTGTTGGTGTTGATTGTGGTGTTGTTGTTGTTTTTGGTTGTGGTGTTGTTGTTGTTGTTGGTGGTGGTGGTGTTAATTGTGGTGGTGTTGTTGTTTTTGTTGGTGTTGTTGTTGTTGTTGTTGTTGGTTGTGGAGTTGGTGTTGTTGGTGGTGATTGTAATGTTGTTGTTGTTGTTGATTGTGGTGTTGTTGTTGTTGTTGTTGTTGATTTTGGTTGTGGTGGTGGTGGTGGTGTTGTCGGTGTTGTTGGTGTCGTTGGTGTTGTTGTTTGTAGTGGCGGTGGTGTTGTTGGTGTTGGTAGTGGTGGTGGTGGTTGTGTTGATGGCGGTGGTGTTTGTAGTGTTGTTTGTGGTGTTGTTGTTGTTGTTGGTGTTGTTGTTGTTGGTGGCGGTGGTGTTGTTGGTGTTAGTGTTCTTGTTGGTGGCGGTGTTGTTGGTGGTGGTGGTGATGGTGGTGGTGGTGTTGGTGGTGTTGGTGGTGTAAGTGTACGTGGTGTTGGTGTTGGTTGCGGTGGTGTTGTTGGTGTTAGTGTTGATGGTGTTGTTGTTGGTGTTGTTGTTGGTGGTGTTGTTGTTGGTGTTGTTGTTTGTGGTGATGGTGTTGGTGGCAGTGTTTTGGTGGTGTTGGTGGCGGTGTTTTGTTGTTGTTGTTGTTGTTGTTGGTGGTGGTGTTGTTGGTGGTGTTGTTGGTTTGGTGGTGGTGGGGATGATGATATTGATAACGATGATGGTGGTGGTGTGTTGTTGTTGTTGTTGTTGTTGGTGTTGTTGATGGTGTTGTTGATGTTGTTGGTGGCGGTGGTGTTGTTTGTGGTGTTGGTGTCGTTTGTGTTGTTGTTGTTGTTGTTGTTGTTGTTTGTGTTGTTGTTGTTTGTGTTGTTGTTGTTGTTGTTTGTGGTGGTGTTGGTGGTGGTGTTGCTGGCAGTGTTTTGGTGGTGTTGGTGGTGTTGGTGTTGGTGTTTTGGTGTTGTTTTTGTTGTTGTTGTTGTTGGTGGTGGTGTTGTTGGTGTTGTTGGTGATGGCTATGGTGGTGGTGGTGGTGGTGGTGGTGGTGGTGGTGTTGGTGTTGTTGGTGGTGCTGTTGTTGGTTTGGTGGTGGTGGGGATGATAATATTGATAACGATGATGGATGTGGTGTGGTGGTGGTGTTGTTGTTGGTGGCGGTGTTGTTGGTGTTGTTGGTGTTGTTTGTGTTGTTGGTGATGGTGTTTGTTTGTGGTGTTGTTGTTGTTGTTGTTGTTGTTGTTGTTGTTGGTGGTGGTGATGGCTATGTTGGTGGTGTTGTTGGTGTTGTTGTTGTTGTTGTTGTTGTTGGTGGTGGTGGTGATGGCTATGTTGTTGTTGTTGTTGTTGTTGTTGTTGTTGTTGTTGTTGTTGGTGTTGTTGTTGGTGGTGGGGATGATGATATTGATAACGATGATGGTGGTGGTGTGGTGGTGGTGGTGTTGTTGGCGGTGGTGTTGGTGTTGTTGTTGGTGGTGTGGTGGTGGTGGACTTACCCTCAAGCTATTTTTTGAAGTCACTTCAAGCAATTATTATTACATCTGGCATCTCAAGTTTGTCACTTTCGGGTTTTCGACTGAAATTAAATCGTAGTTAATAATTATTCGCGTGATAATATTACGGATGAATACAGAAATACATGCAAGACCTAGTGATGGTAATCATATAAAAGTCACCAGGACGAAATACGAACTCAATTGAGATCGAGGTTATACCAAAACCAAAATGTACTTGAACAGATTGAAGTCAATGGATGGCTAAAAGGAAGAGAGTAAAAGAAAGGTATAGAAAGAAAGTGAAGACATTTCTCAACTATGTTTGCCTTTCACGGAAATATACGACTGTTTCGATTGCCAGAATACTACTCTGGTCCACAGGGACCTGATATTTTGTTACATCTAAATTAAGGTGCTCAAAGTTATTGTACTCATTTTAGGGGTTTGGATCAATTAAAAATGCTACTCAATTATGATATATATATATACTAAACCCCTAAAACGTGTAAAACATTTGAACTCTTCCAATTCCAAGGTTGGAATAGTTCATTATGAAACTTTTGGGGTGAATGAGTTAAACATCAACCAAATCCTAACCGCTTTTATGTGGTGTTACATATGCATGTAGTACTTACAGAAGTAATTTGTTCCTCCTGTTTTTATTTTGAGTCCAAAAGCACAGCCAGGTCAGTATCACACCAATGAGGAGAAATATGAAGAAAAATGTAGCTAGTCGCCAAAAGTCTACGTCTTCTGAAAGATAGATACCCCTACAGGTATAAATTAACTTGCAGTGTAGAAAAAGTACAATTTGTAAATAACTTATATCATAATAATTACTCTCACATAAGGAGTTTAGTAGAGTAACGGATATTATAATACAGTGTTAAATAAACTTACCAAAATTTTCTAGCACAAACTACATTTAGTGTCATATATATACATAGATTGTTTTAGTGTACAAATGTAGTTAAATTTGAGGCAACCTGTGTAATAAGTAAGTCTAGCATAACAAATATATAAGTCTCGCATCATATCGCCCAAGTGAAACGTTATCAATCTCTTTTGGGAAACTAATTTTCTTGCTTCCCTACAATATTGCGGATAAAGTGTTATGTTACTGTTGTGTTATTTTAAAGCTTAGTATAAATGTATTGATTTTAAATTAATTATGTTAATGTCATACCCATATTGATTAAAATGTAAAAGTTAGGTTGAGGGACCGCCATCAATAGAAAACCATCATGCTTTCGTTCATTCCACTTACTATAATGATATTTGATTTTATAGTGCATACAATTTACATAGACATTGTGGATTATCACAAAAGTGAGAAAAAGGATTTGGAAATTTGTACATGCTACAATAGGATTATTGCATTTAACTAATTTTTAGGCACATAATCAAATTCAATATGGCTGATGTTAATGCTTCCTGGTATTTCACATCCCATTCCACAACCATATTTTAACAAACGATACAATAAAGGAAACAAAATATACGACATTATTCACAAATTTAAAAGAAACATTTGTATCATCAGGTATGTTATGTAATTAAATGAATACATACCCATTATGAAGCAATTACTGCTGGTTGCTTTCCGAAATTAAATATCCACCTAAAATAGGAAGAGATATACCCTTAGTTAATATCACCTACGAAAGGCTGGTCTCTCAAACCCGCTTAATTTTAACAATACATCATAAAAACAAGGAAGATAAATGACCGATCTTTAATTTTTATGAATAGAAGCTTCTTTTTAAAACATTCCATGAAATTACGTCACTTTAACCCTGTTATATTGAAGTAGAACAGCCTCTACGGGTTCTTGGCATGGTCTATTATATTAATTAGGGAGACAAGGACAACACTCGCCTATCACTAATACGGCACTCGGCGAGCTCATGATACGTTTCATGTATTTTTATAATGATTTATTATTGTTCTTGTTTTTGAAGGTTCGCTAAACTATTAAGTGCGGCTTCTATTTAGTCTGTAAATTTACCGTCAGATATGGTGTTAGACTGTCTCTAGATTATTCAATTACATATATAATTTCCTATTTATCGTCAAACGTATGAGTGTTTTACGAAATAACACCCAATTTTAATTGGTTGTTTACTAGAACAAACGGCACAACACAAACTTTGAGTTTGCTTCTAGCCGAGCTAACTGAGTACCTCCTCCTTATAACTTAAGTAAACAAATTGTTGGTAATATTCACGTGCATCGAACAACAGTTACTTAATGGAGACTATACAGTTACATGATTTCTTCATATTCAGAATAAAAGAGAACGCATAATTTATTCCCCTCGTCAGCAGATAAATGATAAAATAAATGAAGAATATATAAAAATAAAAAATAAATAAAAGAATAACCCCCAAAAAAACAATGAATAAAAAAGAAATATGAGTAAATAAAAATCACATTATAAAACTACAGTTATTTAAGCCATTCTTTAAAAAATATGGATCGTTATATTATTTGTCATAATATCTATAATATGTTAAAGCCATAACACCCTTTCAAACGATTATGATTTATAGATTATATGAAGGAAAATTTACGTTTGATTGGTTCTGGCATATACGTATTTATTGATACTAGGAATTGTTTTTCATCTAATATCAGCTCAAGAATTCAGGAAGCAATCGGAACGTTTTTAGTCAAAAATGATAATATAGTTAACAAAAGCGACTCTGACCTGGTTGTAATTACAAAGACAATGAATAACACAGAACCAAAACCGATTTTAAAAATCTTCCCTTACAAACGTTTTTAATGTTTACTTCAATGGGGAAAATTGCCCCGATGATATGTTCTAATGGATTCATATAATCGACAAACACGTATAAAGGAAACGTAACGCTCAAACACAAACAAACACGAAACTCTACACTCAATTAGTGACGTCATTGCACAATCTGAAACAAGATTGTAAACAGTATGTATATATATATATATATATATATGGGTCAAAGAAGTAATATAGACGGTAAAATCCCATATAACACTGGATCCTAATGGAGGCAAACCAAAAGAGGCGACTAAGTGTGGACCCCCTGCTGTGACTGTTAGATCCACCGCAGCATTGAGAGGCGACTAATGAGACATTCCGTAGCAAATTGAGATTTTTCACATTTACCGGGCCAGATTTCCACATGCACATGTTCCACGTTTTTGATATCTCTCGTTGACTCACTTTATGTGATAGTGCATCTTGCGCAAGAATAGGTCCTCTACATCAGCGTTCCTTGTCCGCGATGCTCTCAGCTTAATTGCTGCCTTCGGCTGTCTTTAGCCGAGGGGACTATTAATTTTTATATAATAGCTATATTTTCAATTATAGTATATCAGTTCTATCTTCTTGTAATATGATGAATATGTACATGTTACTGCTCTGTTTCACTGTGTCTTGAAAAAGGAGCGGATCGCTCCGAAAATTTGACAACCTAAACTTGTCCACAATGTTGGAATTACTTCTTCGCCCCATATATATATTTACATGTATATAAAAGGATATAACAGGTTCATTAAAAGTAAAAGGGATGTGAATTCGTGTGTTTTGAGCTAGGTCATATATAAAGGATTGGTGTCTATAAGGCACTGTTTGGGCCCCGGTATATTCGGTTTTGCCCTCCTTAATTTGTTCAAAGATTTCCTATTGTATAACATGCGCGAAAACTAAGGTAAAAGTTTGACCGAAAGTGAGTTTTTGGGGGTACCAAAAGGGGTAGGGTAAATCACAAATATAATTTGTTGTTTTCAAAATGAGCTTAAAAACCAAAAACGTACCATTTCTGTTTTTGAAAACATGTGTAAACTAAACAGGCATATATAAAAGAATGCAAAATAGCAAAAATGCAATCGTTACTTAAAGATCGTTTATAAACAACTTGATTAAGTCAGGGGGTTCTTTTAGGTATTTTCCAAATGAAAAGTGTTTTGTTTTCTCAATCATGTCCTTTCTAATTTAGATTTTGAGTTGAAATTTACAACTTTACTCATTTGAGTACACTGATATAAAATGCATATTGACTACACACTTTCCTTTTGTTTTATACTGAGTTATGGCTTCTGGACACATCTCATACTTGACAATTTCAAATACCTCTCTATCTTAAGTGAATTAAAAGGTGCATGACGCCCTTTATATGCTACATGTATAGGTATATGATAGTGATAGTTAATATCGTATAGTATATAATATGTGTTCAGTACCTGTGGTTAAAGTGAGTTCCAGGTCCTGATTTGTTTCCTTACTTATCAAAGTTAACTTACAAACAAAAAATGGCATTTGCCACCACAACTACAGTAAACTGATCAGTTTAATATAGGAAGATTGATTTGCTGGTAATTTTAAGTCTCCTAGCTTCATGGAAAGTATCTGTTTGAATCGTTTAAGTTACCCAGTTCATTGTTTAATCAACTGTTGTGCCAATTTCCAATGTTTATGCGCTGATTGTACATAGAAGGCATTTTAAGATAAGCATGCAACTTGGCATGGGTATTTTTTTATAAGATGATATTTAAGCGGTAAAAGTTTCATACTTATCCCATAATGCCTTTTTACTTAAAAAACACGTTTACTTTTGTTTTGGAATACACGGACTTAAGGGCATTTCCTTGCTCAAGGATTGTGGGCATGGCATGGTGATGCAGTGTTTTTAGACATTGATTTCACGCAAATTGATATTTTGGTCTCTACATGTCAAACAAAATATTACTTTCAGTACAGCATTTGCTCCGACGGAAATGGTCGTCGATGATAGTGCACTTAAGATTCCGAAATTCCTCGTGAAACATGATCAATCGAAGAGAAACAGGGAATCATGTTTCCGTGAAAACGGGGAAGATATAATAAATAAATTTACGTGTACACATTTTTGAAGCAGAAACCTGTGATTTGACCTAGATTTGCATGGCGGGTGTCGTTGATGGAAGCAGGGGACGTTTACCCTTCCGGAATACCTGGTCTTCCTCCTGTTCTACTTTTAAGGGTTCCGTGTTAATATTTTGTTTGTTCATAATAAGTCCTGATTTACCCCTATCGACATATTTATTTTCTGTTGATTGAGATATATAACACATATTATATCAATATTGCTTTTTGTAATTGTGTTAATTTTTCATGCAAATATACATTTACTGATAAAAAGAAAAGAGTAAGACGCAATAAACAACGAGCGGCGTTCTTGAAAACGGGTAAATATGGTCAAAATTATGGTAAAATATGGAGAGAAATAATAAATAGCTCATTGAATTATCGAAATAGTAATTCAATAAAATTTCAGAGAGCTGTATAAAAGTAAATAGCATTAAATAACCTTACCCCGCAATTTCTCACAATGAAGTAATGTAAAATGGCTCATGAACACAACTCTCGATCATCCATTATTCATTTGTCGTCCCCACTCCGAACTGTTTATAAAAAACTCAACATTCGGGCACTGCCCCAAAACATAACATTTTCCAAGACACTGGAACTCTCAAACATTTATTTACAAACATCGCTGTTGATACTTCTTTTAGGTAAGAAATACTTTCTTTTTTTAAATTTGTTGTAAATATTTGATATTAGAGGCAAATAACGTGCGACTGTCCCCTGTGGTAATTATATATATACTCTAGGTTAGGCAAAGATCGTGCTACTATCCCCTGTGGTAGTTATATATATACTCTAGGGGAGGCAAAGATCGTGCTGCTATCCCCTGTGGTAGTTATATATATACTTTAGGGGAGGCAAAGAGCTTGCTACTGTCCCCTGTGGTAGTTATATATATACTCTAGGGGAGGCAAAGATCGTGCTACTATCCCCTGTGGTAATTATATATATACTCTAGGTTAGGCAAAGACCGTGCTACTATCCCCTGTGGTAGCTATATATATACTCTAGGGGAGGCAAAGATCGTGCTACTATCCCCTGTGGTAGTTATATATATACATGTACTAAAGGGGAGGCAAAGATCGTGCTACTGTCCCCTGTGGTAGTTATATATATACTCTAGAAGAGGCAAAGATCGTGCTACTATCCCCTGTGGTAGTTATATATATACTCTAGGGGAGGCAAAGATCGTACTTCTATCCCCTGTGGTAGTTATATATATACTCTAGGGGAGGCAAAGATCGTGCTACTATCCCCTGTGGTAGTTATATATATACTGTAGGAGAGGCAATGGTCGTGCTACAGTCCCCTGTGGTAGCTATATATATACTCTAGGGGAGGCAAATATCTTGCTACTATCCCCTGTGGAAGTTATATATATACATGTACTCAAGGGGAGGCAAAGATCGTGCTACTATCCCCTTTGGTAGTTATATATATACTCTAGAAGAGGCAAAGATCGTGCTTCTATCCCCTGTGGTAGTTATATATATCTACTCTAGGGGAGCCAATGGTCGTGCTACTATTCCCTATGGTAGTTATATATATATACATGTACTAAAGGGGAGGCAAATATCGTGCTACTACCCCCTGTGGTAGTTATATATATACTCTGGGGGAGGCAAAGATCGTGCTGCTATCCCCTGTGGTAGTTATATATATACTCTAGGAGAGGCAATGGTCGTGCTACAGTCCCCTGGGATAGTTATATATATACTCTACGGGAGGCA